AAGTCCTATCACAAGGATTTTGCTGTCAAAACTGCTGGGCAAGTCCAGCCCAGCTGCAGCCTGGGTCCCCAGCGTGCTTTGGCAGTCTTATTTCGAAACCGGGAGCTTTCCAACTTCAAAAAATGGCAACCAAAGCACACTGGGGACCTGGGCTGCAGTTGGGCTGGACTCATCCAGAGGCTTCAGTGGCAAAATCCTTATGATAGGACCAGGCTGCCTCCTGAATCAGGCTTGAGTTTGGAAGAGGTAAACCGGCTTATTTCAGCGATTGGATAATTTCCTACATAGACACACACACACACACACGTATTATTTCCTGACTGGAAAGCCAGCTTGGTGTTGTGATTTGAATGTTTTGCTAGTACTTTTGGATTTGAATGCCCACTCAGGATTTGAATGCCCACTCAGCCATGAAAAACCCCTGGGTGACCTTGGGCAAGTCACACATTCTCAGCCTCAGAGGATGGCCATGGCAAACCCTTTCTGATCAACTCATGCCAAGAAAACTCCATTAAGTTTACCTTCCGTTTGCCACAACTTGGAAATGGTATAAAGACACATTTCTGTCTTTATATCAGAAATAATATAAAGACAACAACCATTTCCTAATTGTCAACCCTGAATGTCACAAATTTTGACTGATTTATTGCTACTTTGAAAACCTGGCAACAGTGGGTGTCATACCTATTGCATTTGATCTTACCAGATGACCAGACACCTAGATAACTCTGTCTACTCCCCCATTCCTTCTGCTGAGGTATCAGGAACAGCCCGAAATAGAGGCTGAATATTGAGTGATATGTTATCACCCTCACACACTCCAGGCATGCTGGTATAACATTGCACTGGCAGAGGCAATCTGCTGGCACGTCTATGCCAACAGAAGGTGATAGGGCAATGTGCCTGGTGATGCAGCGGAGAAGTTTGCTTATACTGTATCGTTTACTGCTTCAGCTTATGGAGATTATCAGACGGGGATGGGAGCAACGCGAATCGCTCTCCTGTCCTTATCCCATCCTTGTCCGGATCACACAAAAGTATTTCAGAAACATCACACTTATCCTGTCATTAACCTGTCATTAAAGTGGAATTGTATTAACCTGAACTCCCATTAATACAAAACGACAGGGCACTTCAATGACAGGTTAATGACAGGATAGGTGCAACGTCATGGGAAAGAATTTTGTGCAATCACAGTCAAATGCAGTTCAGTGATGGGACACTGTGCGATGTCATGTGAAAATCTTTTCCCAATCATGCCATAAGGATAGGAAAAGGACGGGACCAGGACAACCTTTTCCCCATCTGATAATCTCCATAGACTATGAATCCACCAATGGCACAATTTTACATACCACTTCTGGAGCAAATATATGCTCTTTCCCATTGATTGCAATAAGAGAAAACAGGAGTTTGTTGGGGAGGGTAGAGCAATTAGAAGGGTGGGAAGGTGCAAAAGAGATTGGGATTGCAGTAAGGGCAAAGGATTAGAGTCTCCTCTTTCCACACAACAGACTCAGGACTCAAACATTTACTTTTTTAAAACTATTAAAATGATTGCTAATGATATGATTGATGTCTTCTGGAAGGGCTGGAGTGTATTGAAATCAAGTAGGCCCAAACCTGGCTTATGCATGGAAATTTGTATTTGACAAGCATTCTGCCTATATGCCTTCTTCCCTTCTGCACTGCAGTTACATCACAAAGCTTAATTAAACATCTTCATATGCCTGAACCAGGAAAGACGATTACCAGGATCTGATATTATGGAGAGGGGTATCAACAGGAGGCTGCAGGGAGTCTGGAACACACCCTAAGGGGGAGGGTTATACCACTGCTCCCCAAACACCTGCCTTTTGCCAGAAAAGGGCTGTGGCATTCGCCTGTTTCTCTTTAAAACCTGGAGCTCAGCAGAAGAGATGGGGTGAGTGGCATGAGATTTAGTGGGAGAAGAAAGGAGAGGACCTAGCTTTTAAAAAAATAAAAATGAAACTTTTTTTAAAAAAAACTAAATTTTGAAATTCCTTTTCAATTTTCTTTAAAAACATCACATCCTTATCAAATGTTCACTTTAACCACATGAAACTTTGCACAAGTACATATATCTAGGCTAGGCATATAATAGTGAAAAGGTAAAGGTATTCCCCATTGACAAGGTTGTCAAGTTGTGTCCAACTGTAGGGGGCAATGCTCATTTCCATTACTAAGCGAAAGAGCCAGCATTGTCAGAGACTACTCTGTGATTATGTGGCTAGCATGATGGCACAGAATGTTTTTTACCTTCCCACTGAAGTAGTAACTATCTATCTACTTGCATTTGCATGCTTTCAAACTGCTAGGTTGGCAGAAACTGGGATACTGTGATTTAAAGGTACAGTTTTAATATTGCTAGTTGTTTATGTCATAACTATTGCAATTACATTCATTGATATGTGGGAGTTAAGATTTATGAGTAACATTAGCACAAAAAGTATCGCTAAGGATTCTGTATGGTGTGGTCTGGGAGGAGGTCAGTGGGGCTGTGTGACACCATGAGTTACCACATTGAGTGACACCAACCGTAGCGACACCACTGACTACAGATCTTGTCCAGTTCTTTCATAGCTACCCTTCCCATTCCTAGTCTTCTGATTTCTTGACTGCAGTCTCTGTTACAGTCAGTGTTTGATCCAAGGCATGAGAAATCTTTAAATATTTTTATTTCCTCTTTGACAAGGTTGGATTTATGTATTTCTTCCGTGATCATTATTTTTGTTTCCTTTATGTTCAGTTTTAAACCTGCCTTTGAACTGTCTTCTTTTACCTTCCTTTGTAATTATTTCAGGTCTGTAATGTTTTCCGCTAGTCGTATGGTGTTGTCACATATCTTAGATTGTTAATTTTGATTTGTTGGCTGAAGGTACCTCTTTCTTATTCAAGGTTAAAAGGGCCTATTCCTTTGCCTTGGCAACTACATCTCCTTTCCTATCCAACTATCCCTCTCTTTCTGGACTTAACTAGTAAATACAGTCCTTCCTTAGGGTTTCCCCACCCATTGAGCCGAACCAATACATTCGTACAGGTTACAAATCCACTCTGGGGTTAGTTTAAATTTTAAAGGAGCTAGCTAAGGGTCTGAACCTGTCTGGGAGATCAAGGAATACTCCTTTAAATTTCTGACTGATGATGTCTGGAGAGGTTTCTCCAGCCCATATACAGTAGAGCCACCAGCTACCATTGCCTGAGCTTGTTAAACCAAGATATGGTTATCCAAAGTGGTGCATTAAATTATCATGAAAACGCCCTGTCCTCCAAAAGGTGACTCAGTAACTTGTCTAGCCAACCCAAAATAGGATTGTCTGAGTCAAAGATTGTTAATTTTTGCGACCCAGCAACCTCAGACTTGCTACGGCTATGCATGTTGCGTGTGACAACACATCTTTTTTTCTCCAGCATGTTCATTTCCTGTATGTTCCAGATTTAGAAGATAGCTCCAAGACAGCTAATTTAAAAACAATTTGCATTGCAATGAAGTGAAAAAGAGACAAAGAGAAGAGAAACTACCGGTATGTTAAGCATTTACTACAACATCTCCTTTCATAGAACCTGCCTTTCTGAAATTAAATCTGCTTCAGGAATCATATATTCCTGTCCTAATTTTCAGAGATATAAATTGATTTGAAGCTAGTGAACATATGAACAGGAAAACATGTATCATGGTGACTGTATTTATACTCAGGATTTTTGTATACATAGTTACAAAGCTATTGGCTGAAATTCAATTGCTAATTCCAGCTAGGGTAGACCCACTAAATCAATGGTGTGTGTGTGTGTGTGTGTGTGTGTGTGTGTGTGTGTATATATATATGGGGTGACTTCTCAAAACCCATTATTTTAGTTGGACTACTCTGCTTGGGATTAGCAATTGGTTTTAAATCAATGTCTTTAATATGGTGTAGTGGTTTGAGTGTTGGACTGGGACTCTAGGAGGCCAGGGTTCAAATCCCCGCTCAGCCATAGAAACCCACCACATGACCTTGGGCAAATCCCTTTCTCTCAGCCTCAGAGGAAGGGCCGTCTGAACAAATCTTACCAAGAAAACCCTGTGATAGGTTCACCTTAGGATTGCCATGCAACATCCTTCAATCTGAAGAAGTAGGATCAAACTTTCATCCTACTCTGTTCAATAAGTTCCACTGAACTCAATGTGGCTTACTTCTCAATAAAAATGTCACAGATTGTACTACAAATATTCCTGAAGGATACTTGAGTACACACAAAAATGTTTTACATATAGCTGTATGCCACTAAGATTTCTAGGGTACAGGTACTATTTAATTAAGTGACTATTACTTCTTTTGAAAATAGAATATATATAAGCTGATGAATGTGCTGCTGTCACCTCATATCAAAAAATCAGGTCTTAAAATGCATAAAATCTAAATACAAAGAAATAAATATGGATGGATGAAATTAAAATAAAACATAATGCATATATACAAATACCAATAACAAAATAGGGTACACTTAATACTTAAGACTTAATAGCACTTCAAGATTTCAGATCTAAGATTTATAAATTATCTCCTGAAGATGCCTACCAAATCACTGAGATTTACAGAATCCTTGTACATCCTCGATGCTTATCACAATTCCCAAGGCAAGTGCAGAAGAGGAACACTGTCACCTACAAAAGGCTTGTCTCCAGAATGTCCAGTCCAATGCCAATTCTCTTGATCCTCACACTTCGGGAGCCATTTCTTCAGCCTCTTTTCTTTTCCTTCCCAGTTTCTCCACAGTTTGCCCCCAACTGTCGCTCTCAACTTCTTTTTGCAAAGTTCAATTCACACATTACACTTGACACGAAGGCCTTGCATGACAAGACAGCACACGCTGATCAAAGGTAAGTTCCACTGAAATCTACAAACTTTGAAATATGGCTTAGATTGGCATTTTATAAATGCAATGTTGTGTAAATGCTGAGAGAAACAAATTGGCTACGGGTATTTCTAGTTATGAGAGACACCATGGTGTAGTGGTTTGAGTATTAGACTGTGACTCTGGAAATCAGGGTTCGATTCCCAGCTCAGCCAAGAAACTCACTGTGTGACCTTGAGCAAGTCACATACTCTCAGCCTCACAGGAAGGCAATGGCAAACCTCCTCTGAACAAATCTTGCCAAAAAAAACCTATGATAGGGTTGCCATAGATAAGTCGGAAATGACTTGAAGGCACACACCAACAACAATAATTTCTAGATAAGGCTTTCATCGTACATGAATTCATAGCACCTTTATGGGAGATTCAGGCAATTTTGTCTGTCAGTTTCTAACCTTCCTCTGTTTCCTCGCTGTTTCCTCTATCTGAAAGCCTCCTTAACAACCAAGTTCACCACAGCACTACAGTGAACAGATATGCACACAAATCAAGATGCTAGAATCTATTTCAAGAAAGGCACTACTCAGATTTGCTAATCTTCTTCAGCATCAAGTAAAAAAGTAAACCTTTGTGCAATTCCTAATTATTGGAGGGTAGTTTGAGGGGATGAAATGAAATATTTTTATGCCCTCCTTCAAAACTCAAGACAGGCAATCTACTTTAAAACAGGACTCCAGCTAGTCACATAAGGCCACAAAATGGAAAAGGGGAAGGCTGAATTGGGTATTCTTGTCTTCACAAATTTTGACAATACTCAGAGATGGTAGGGATGGGGAGATGTATGATGACAGCTAAGATCATAAGTCTAAATGTGAGACAAGTCACATGTGCCATTGACAGGAAAACTGTGAGCCTTCTCCTTTTCTTCTGTCAACTAAGAATCATCTGAGAGGGGGGAAATTCCCAGGGCTCACTGAAAAATTCATTCTTGCAGAAGGCAAACTATGCTATAGTTTCAACTACCTATATGTTTTCAACTTATGTTTTAATACTAATAATATTTAATTAATTTTTAACTTTTGTAATCATTGTTTTAGTTCTTCCTTTTTAAATTACTGTAAGCTGTCTTGAATCCCATTTTGGGAGAAAGATGGGATATAAATCCCTTAAATAAAATGAAAATATTCCTTCCCCCCTCCTTCTCCACTGAGAGATGCTTGGTTATAGCAAAAGTACACTTTATTTTTACCATGCCAACCAAGAGATGCTAAGGTTAATTTTAAAGCGCAAGAGCATATCTTTATGGATGGTATAGAAGGCATACATTCATTAATACAGACATTCCTTACATTTGTAAACTTATAAGGAAAAACATCTGTTTAATTTCTGTGTACCTGGCTGTTTTTAAAGGCAGAGACTGATTTTGTGTTTTTTTAAAAAATATTGACATCTCTTTCTGAAAGACAAAATTGGAGTATTACCCTATGACTCTCTATTCAGAACTAAGCCAACAGACTTATACCCACTGTCCCAGAAATGAATTCCATTGAATTTATCGAAATGTAATTGTGTCAGACAAGTATAGGATTATTCTATAAAACAGTGGCTTTTACCAACCAAGACCACCACGTGTTTTTTAAAAATAATATTAAAAAAATATTTTTAAAAAACTACTGCATTTGTAAGAAAAGCTTAGTAATATATACATGGTTTTGTTTTTTTTTAAATGTGAGTATTTTTTTAAAAGTAAAGCATGCAAGACCTAAGGTTGTCAGAATGAAAACTGGGAAAAGCTCCCGTACCTTGAATAGTTGTATAGCAATGGAATTTCAGCAGAAGTTGCTTGTGGTTGTATGACAAGCAATAACACCTGTTGAAATCCCCTCTTCTACACAGCCATTAAATGTAAATGAGCTTTCTCCAATTTTCTTTTATGTTTGCAAGTCTAGACTCTGGTGGCAGGATTTATTTATTTATTTATTTGGTTTAAGAAAGAAAAGAAAAAAAGAAATCATACATCCCTGTTCCTCAATTTGTGAGTTGATAATGTTTTCTTTTATTTTTAAAATTGATTATTAGATAAAACAACTTAATCCTCTTCTTGTGCTGAAACTAAGCAATAGAGGCTACAGTTCTGTGCATGCTTGTTGTTGTGTACCTTCAAGTTATTCCTGAGTTATGAGATTCTTGGCAAGATTTGTCCAGAGGGAGTTGCTTTGGATCTCTCTAAGGCTGAGAGAGTGTGACTTACCCACAGTCACCCAGTGGATTTCCATGACTGAGCGGGCATTTGAACACTAGTCTCCTAGAGTTGTAGCCCAGAGGTCAAACCACTATACTATGCTGCCTCTATGAGAAAGTCCCATTGAACTTGGTGGAGCTTCCCTCTGAGCAAACATGCCTAGAATTCCCCTGTAGCGCTATGCAAAGGGATCTTGTAGCACCATTGAAATGAGCAAACGTTGTATCAGGAGCTTTTGTAGAATTGGGTCTACTTCCAGTTCACGCCATGGGGGAGCTGTATCCACACTGCAAAAATAAAGTAGTGTGACACCACTTTACCATAACTCAGCCTACAGAATCTTGGGATTTGTAGTTTGGCAAAGCACCAAAGCTTTCTGACAGACTAGACTGAATACCTCACCAAACTACAAATCCCAAGATACCACAAAATGGAGCCAAGACAGTTAAAGTGGTGTCAGATTGCTTTATTTCTGCAGGGTAGAAGAGCAGTAAG